GGTAATCACATTCCTTACTTTGTTTATTATTCTTTAAAGCAGAACAGATTTACATTTTATTTTGGTTTAGGTATTTCCTTCTATTTTGTAACAAATGAAAAACAGAGAGACTAAAATAGGAAGGTGAATGTTTCGCAAGATTCTAGTTTTAGAAGTTTAAGAAATCTTATTCTCTAGAAAGGCAAGCAATCTATAAACAGCTGACATTAAAGAAAAAAAAATCCTTCAAACCTTGGATCTTCTTCAAATATATATTGAGTTCCTTGGCCGTGGTGCACATCCCAGTCAACAATTAGGATTCTGTACAGATCAGTAAAAGAAAACTTTCAGCGGAAGAGCCACAGCATCTTAATCTACAGAAAGTATAAATGAACAATGTTCTTCTGAACCAAAAGGAACATGACACCCAGAAAGCTCTAGACATTAATCTAAACTAGTACAATATCAAACTGCTGTTTACACATGAAAAGCTTCTCTAGAGTCAACCATGCACTTACCTCTGCAGACCATATTTCAGTTTTGCATATTCGGCTGCAATAGCAACGTTGTTGAACAAACAGAACCCATTAGCTGCGTTTCTCTGGCTGTGGTGACCTGGAGGTCTGAACCAAAATTTTATAAATTATTCACAACACAAGAAACTTCTCTAAGTGAAAACTTCCTCACTTATTTTCCTACCTGACTAATGCCATTCCATTGCGCACTTTTCCTGCCATCACAGCGTCCACCAGCTGCAAAGCTGCTCCTACTGCTAGTCTGGCACAGCGGTAAGTGCTCTGAGAAAGAGAAACTCATCAGCTTAAACAAGGCAGCCATGAATGCTCTGGCATCCCAACAGCAAACTGCCCTGACATAATTCTACCCCACTGAAGCCATACAAAGATAGCTGAAACACAATTTGACAACACAGGCTCCTGTGTGCTTTCCCCTGTCATTACCAGTGGTCACCATAATCTTTACAAGGATGCTCTCTGTGGAGCAGTCAAAAATGTGAGATGGATGTACTGAGTGGAATAACATGGCATCTTTGAAAATAAGGAATGAAACCCTACAGAAACATAACAGAAAACTTCATCTCCATTTCATGGCACAATATTTAAGAGCAATTGTTACCAAAATGTGATTTGCAGGTCACTAATGGTCTACAGTGACATTAAGTGACAAAAATGGAGCTAAAATTTGACTAGTGCATTATACTGGTGTGATACAATTACAAAATAGATGACAGGACACTTGAGCAATTTAAATTACAGCATTATACTAAACTAGAAACAGAAAATTACAATATCATAAATAAACGTGAGACTACATCAGTAGCAAAACAAGTATTTTTAATCTTCCCCTTCTTAGAAAAATGCCACTCAGATGCAGTAACACAAATAAATTGTAACTCCCAATAGAGGAAGCAGTTTAACTTACGCACCGGATGAAAGAAAAAAGCATCATATTTTTCAGAGACCCTTTTCAGTTCCTCCTCATTCATTGTCTGAGTGCTTTTTGCCACTTCCAAGTGCTCCAAACTGCAGAGGAAAGAGATTAACACAACACTTAAGTAAGCAACTACAAATATTTTTTAGACGTTTACTTGTATTCCTATGTATAAATCAGCATTCACTGCTTAAGATCCCACAGAGTGACAGTGTAGATTTCATGGAATAGCAGATTCATAATTCAGCACCTATGCTATACTCCACATTGTGACACATTTTCCATTGAAATTAATGGAAGCCATTGTATTTTGGAACAGTCTTTTCAAATGGATGAAAATATAATCTGGAGGTATGAGATCTGCTGTTTCATTGGATTCATCTGAATGAAAGTTAAGTTTCAGACCTGTGAACCAACAGGATCTCCTCCTCGCTTCCTTCTCTGGCAGGCACACGGACACACCTTTCCACAAGATGGTAACTTCTAAGCTGCTCATAGGAGGATGAAAGTCTTTCAGGCACTTCAATATCACAAATGGGACTAAAAATAAAAATAATTATATTACTGTAATACTGTACCAGCACAGGTAACTAACACACTTCATAAAGCCTAGCTTTTAACTCCCCATTTTAAGAAAATTCACTACCCTCAAAGAGAGACACATGAGAGTAAAAATGGAAAAAAAATCTTTAAGTATTTTCTGTTTCAGAACTGAGTCAGAAATTGATTCTACAATATGTAAGCAAAAACGAATCTTAAACAAATCCCAAACAAACAATACAATAGAATCATTTTTTGTTTCTTCTCTCACTGGTAAAAAGTTGCTATGCTTGACTACAGACACAGAAATGCTGCAATTAAAAGCTGTAGGTTACAAAGAAGGTGAACAGAAGACAAGCAGGTGTGGGAGAGAAGACAACAATGGATTGTTACTCTGAGCGATGCAAAGGAACTCCTCCAGTTCATGCAAATTTAAGTACTATACAAATTTCTAACTGAATGTAATTGACATGTTTCAGCTGAGTGAGTATATCTACACACTTTTCCAAGGTCAATGATACTTTAATTTTATAAATAATTTAATTAGCTTAAAACACATTATTTAGGGGACTACTCAGATGCCTCATCCTAACAACTCTTGTTAAGGCCTCCCATACTGGATGCCTGCAGCTTCTCAAATCCAGTTTCAGATAATCATTACAGTATCTAGATACAAATTGTGAATAAAATATTTTTTTTTTCCTCTTAAAGACACTTTCTACTCAGAAATGACAGGAAGCACCACCAGATATTAATACCACCACTATTACATTTACAAAGCATGCATTTATTTGGTACTGCCCTCATGAGTCCTAATAAGAATCCATTAATAAAAAGAACAGCAGTGACTTACTCACTCCAAAGCAGTTTGTGAGTGGTCATCTCCTCATCATAAACCAGCGCTGTTCCTGAAGCCATTGCTACAACCGAGCAGAACAAAAACACCAAGACACATATTTCACAGCAGAAGTAAACTTAAAGTTTACGTTAAGTAAGTTTACAGTTACTATTACACTAGATAGTGAGAATATAAGTACAGAGCGTACCTGCTTGCATGACAGCTTTGTACTTTAGACTTTGTACTTACAGAATTAAATCAAAGGAAAATATTAAGGACTCAGATTCTCACAAAACTGCACCCACCGAAATTGGGTGCGGGCAGGCAGGATCCACAAGGGCCGAGCGCTCCAGAGCTGGGCGGTGGCACTCCTGCGCGGGGGTACCCCCAGCTCCCCGAGCCGCCCGTGCAAGCAGGGCAGGCTCCGAGCCCAGCCCGCCTCCTCCCTCCATCGCACACACACTCACCGGCGAGGGGAGGCCCAACAGCCGCGGGGGAGAACCTGAGCTACAAAGTAGGAACAACAGGATTTCATACACCACGCGCACAACAGCGACAGGGTCTGTTTGCTTTAGAACTTCATGGGTCTTTCACAAACCCCAGAGAGACGCTGAAGAGAGACAAAGAAGCCGACGGGCAAACAGCAGATGCGAGCGCACTGCCGGCCGCGGTGCCGCGTACCCGGGGCCCCGGGCGGGCTCCGCTCCGCCGCTCGCCTCCCGCGCAGCCCCGGCCCCTCACGGAACCAGCGCGGCCCGCGCCCGGCCGACGCCTTCCGCGGGGAGGCCGGGGAGGCGGCGTGTCCCGGGCCCGGCTGTGGGCGTGCCGAGCGCGGCCCCGCCCCGGGCGCGGCGTGAGGCGCGGTTCGAGCCGCGGTTCGGATCGCGGTTCGGGCCGCGCTACGGAGCTCCATGGCCGCGCTGTGCCCGTGCTGCGGAGCCGGGCAGTGCCCGGGGAGTGCAACCGCTGGAGGGGTTTTAGCGTGGAACTGACCCAAGAGCAAAACAACCCACAGCCCCGGGCTGTGTGGCATCCGCTGGCATAACGAAAAATAAAGTAAGAGCCTGGACTGAAGGGGGGACCCCTCCATTTCCTCAGAGTGACGTGTCCGGGCCCTGATGCCGCTCCTGCCCGTGCCGCCGCAGCCGGCACCTGTGTGCGCACAGCTTCTCCCATTACTGACCGCTTGTCCCCTCGGTTTCTACTAGTATCCAGTTTATAATAGAAAGTGATAGAACAGGTGTCGTCACATTCAATAACCTGATACAAACCTGCACTTTTGGGAATGTATGCAAAACCCAGATCATTGCAGGTGCAAGTTTTAGAGATCTACTGCCCATAAACCTTCCCCGTATTGGTTTCAAGCAAGTATAGTAATAGACACTGTATTATTGAAATAGTTTCTAATTTATGTGTTACCACCTGTTACTGTGTTTATTATACACATTTGTAAAGCTAAAATTGAGTCAAGTTCTGTCCATCTTCGTGTAGTCTTTAATGTCAGTGTATTGCACTGACCATGAGGATGCTAATCATGTGCCTAGGGTAATTTTTTTTTTTTGATATTTTGACTTCATTAGTTCCCTGCAGATCACTTGGAGAACGGGTAAATTTTATAAATTAACTTGTGTAATGTGTCTGAAAATGAAAAGGGACTTTTCAGTAGCAGGGATCTGATTTATGACACCCACTAACCAAATCCTCTTGCGTAGGAGCCAAACATACCGTGTTAATTATTCTTCTCTTTATTCCACTCTGATTCTGGTGACAGCAACCAGCAGAGGGCTGCCTCCTTTCAAAATACTCCAACGGGTGACAATGAGGTGGATTCATGAAACATTAGGCAAGGGAAAGTTTAGATAACTGAAGAAAATGGTAGAACGAGTGGTGTAGACAAATACATTGAAAGCAGCTGGATTTGAACTGCTTTATGCTGTGTTTTGCACATATTACAATATTTTTTTAATCATAGCTCAAATGAACATTTATCCATAGCTGTCCAAATTCAAACAGGACAAGAGTAGCTGTAACACTACCAAAAGGAAGCCTGATAACAATGTGGTTTGAGCTCAACTTACAATACCATTTAAAAGGAAATGAAAGCTTTATATTCAACTTATAATACATTTCTATTTACAAGATAAGTTTGGCATGAGAAATATAATAATCTTTTTACAAATAATATGATAAATATTTACAAGCATTTATGGTGTCTCCACTTCTGAGTGGCGAAAGTCAGCTGGGAGTCCTTCCTCTGCCAGCGATAAACCTGTTTTACTAAAAGGATGCCCTCTTCAATGTTCCCCACAAGGAGATACACCATGGGACGGTGGGTTGGAGTCATCCTCTCTATACATTTTTCATTAATTAGCAGCCACTGTTGTATCATACTCTGAGTTTCATAGGGCAATAGTGAACCCTGGGTAATGAATTCCACTTGGCATTCAATGTTATACTCTTGGTCCTCAAATGCTGTTCTCTTCTTGGACAGCTTTACTTTCACTGCTAAGGAAAAAGGAAAAGGAAATGCAAGTCAGACCATTTCCCAAATGCAACAGAAAACGGTAGCAGTGAAAACAGGAAAATTCCTAAAAAATATGATCATAATTTGTGTTGACAGAGTATGGTGAGGCCTTTTCAGCTGAAGTTTAAAACATTTTGAAAAATAAATTTTATGTAGTAAAGGTTTGGGGTTTTTTTTCCCCATTGAATTAGGTGACTAGGAAAAAATATTTTCACAAGCGTAAGTAATTGATTTTTACCATCACTATGTTATGTCAGACTTCAAGTAATTACATATTGTAAGCTGTTGATCTTATTCTTGTATGACAAAACTGCCCAGCATCTGCCCAAGCAATTTTCCTGAAATGCACCTTGTCCATGTGTGGAATCCCTAGGCAAAAATGGCTTGCTGATACCACCCTTTTAGATATTCCCTTTTCATTATAGGCATCTACCTACCCCACTTGACTCCATCAACACTTTTTAGCATGACATTTGTCTGTATTTCTTGATTCAGCCAAATCACTGAAGGTCTTTGCACTGCCATCAAAGGCTTTTCAGGAAGTCTCTAGGGCAAACTCCACTCATCACTCCAAAAAGACAACAGGCAGTAAGAATTCCTTCTTCTGATATGATATTCTGAGTCTCCTTCTCAGTAAGTCAGGTATCACAAAAACTCATTTGCAAAAGTAGCAAAGATACACCATACACTGGTAAAGCACTAAAGCTTTACTTTCCGTTTAAATGCTAGTAAAAGGCATTTGTTTATTTGACTGCTTCTGACAGAAATATTTTCCATAAGGCATGTTGTAGCCAACTAGACCAGAACAGCTATTTGGTTGGAAGCAAGATCATTGATAAATCTTTCATGCACAATAAATCCTCCTTATATTTAGATTAGAAATAATTTATTCTGAAAATCAACCTAAAGCTAAATTAGCAGCCAAACTCTTAATCCTTTGAAATCCCCGCAGAAACTGTCAGTAATCGTAATCCTACTTTTAAAGCACTTAGAAGAAGAGTTGTTAGTCTCTTTGGCATGAGGTACATCAGCAAGGACTTACCAAAGTTACTGTCACAGAAAACTTCAAGAACTCTTTTGTGTGTAGAGAATTCCTCCACTGCTGGGCAAGTCTGGCAGGTAGGCTTTGGTAGGACTGATAAGAAATTACAAAGTCTCATTGTTATCTTTTAGAATAATTAGTTTTAATTTTCTGCTGCCAAAGCTAAGAACCCACTGTTTAACCACAGAAATTACAGACAAAGTACACATCAAATACAGGGTGAAAATAGGTAAAAAGTCAACCCACTTCTCTGAAAACAAGGCTAGAGATGAAAAGGAGTGTCATTTTCCATGTCCATTCAGCCCTTGTTCTGACTGACAAGATCAATTATCAGCACAAATAAGGTAACAAATACAGCATAATTTTTAACACAACTACAGTGGGATTCTGTCAGTCCTTCTGGGTTCAGCTGCACTAAGCCTGTGAATATATATGAGTTTGGGTGTGCCAGCAGCAACTTAATCTTACTCTTTTCCATAGAGTTATTAAATGTGAGTGCATTTGAAGATTTGAACATTTATGCCAAGACAACTCATGCTTCTTTAAGGAAAATCAGATAAAATCATCCCAATTTTCCTAAGCTGATCTGAGAGCCAGTTTGTTGTAGACAAAGATGCATCTGTGCTGAGGGCCATTGGTAAGTCTCTAGAGAGACCTGAGAACAATTCCAGCACGGTGTGCTGCTGTGTGTGACACTGCCGTGCAGTGATGGTTGCCTTCCTCCACCGCCAGCACAGCCTCTGCGCCGCTGACCAGCACCGGAGCTCTGCTGCAGCTGGCACTGCCAGCGCTGCCACTCTGCCACCCATCTGCACGTGCGGCAGGAAAGCCGGACGTGGCTGCACTGACACAACCGCAGCGTGGCTGGGAACAGCGTCCCTGGGATCTCCTTGATTCCCAGGAATCCAGGGCACGGCCACCCTCCCCTCCGCATCTCGGAGCTACCTTTGTTCAGGTGTTTATAGTCCCTGGTCAGCGGTGCCAGGCACGTGTCCTCGTCGCCAGGGAAGCGATCGCAGTCCAGGCTGGCCGGCCAGGGCTGCCCGTGGCACAGGAGCGCGGGGGCGCAGCTGTCACGGACAGCAGCGCACATGCTCCTACAGGGATGGATGAACCTGTGCGGGAGGAACGCCAGGCTCTCAGTTAGCTCAGTGACAACAGAAACTATTGCAACACTGACTCCTGGGCAAAGTACACCATCCTTGCTGACATTTAACATCCTTCAACAATAATAAAATTGAAGCAGCAGCTGTGCAAATTATGCAAGCGGTCTATGTATGGACTGAGCTTACAGTATTTAGTTATGATTTTAAAAATACATTTATGGCAACCTGAAAAAAGTTTCAGTATGAGGCTGATTCTATTTACTGTAGGTGTTTCAACCCTAAATGAGTAAGAATAAAGTTCAGCTGTAACAGAGTAAAACATTATATCCTTTGACAACACCATTCATGCATTCACGTTCCCCAGGCAAACTAAAATTGAAGTGGAATAAGTTTTCAGTACTTTTTTTTTTTTCTAATGAATACAAAAAAGCTAACAGAATTACTTCAGAAAAAGTGGAGATCACCTTTAGATGACGATAAACATTCATTTGATTTCATTCCTGTTCTGGCAAATAAAGGCTGGTTTTGTACTGTGCTGTGATACTTACGTATCTAAACAGATGGGTGCAAGCAGGGAGCACAGGAAAGTCCTCACGTGAGGGTGACAGTCTGTGTGTACAAGGTGCTGCCAGGTGCTGGATTTTAGGATAACCTCTGCCATGCTTGTGTGTCCCATCAGGTTGGGAAGTCTCATTTCAGAGTATCCAATCTTGTGGCACATGCCCATCTCCTTGGGTATCACTACGCATTTCGTGGATAATCCAATGTCCAAGGCTGTTGCCACTCTTAGGAAACCATTCATGGCCAAAACAAGTATTTTTGCAGTCAATAACATCTTCCAGTGACTCCTGGGCTGCTGAACAGGGAGCTGTCAAACCACTCAAGTGCAGAGGCATGCTGAAAACCTTGTGGCTTATATATCCCAAGAGCTTAATGAACTGTTGGTTATCAACTGCTTATCAAATCACTCGAGACAAGACCAGGTCTTATTGCCTAATCAAGGGATTGTTGTGACAGCCAGGGAGGTGGAGAAAAAGTATAGATGTATTTTCCCCAAGGACACTGATTTGGAAGAGCCTTTCGAACGTCCCACGGTGTCAGTGGCTGGAGCATGCTATGTAGCATATTAAACTTTGACACCTGGAAGGTTCGCTGTGCTTTCAAAAACAAATTAAGTGGTCCCCCAGAAAAAGGGTTGGGCAGACATGCTGTCTCCTGGGGCTTCTGTGTCTCCTTTGTTTTCAGACACTGCTGACATGACAGAAAAAAACAGCCCAGATTGACTTATCAAGTGAAAATGTTTTGCTTGTGCTAATGGCCCATGTCTCTTCCACAGTTTTACAATGTAGAAGAGGCACTTTCTTTTGTCAAGCACTGTAAAAGAGAAAGACGTCTGCTATTAACCACGTATTTTGACTGGAAATTTGGATTCCTGTTCTGTGACATACTAAAGGCCTCAACTTCTATTAATTTTAATAGATGTCTGAAAATACAGAATTTAATTTGTAGCACTGTAGTGACTATCAGTATTTATTCAGGAAAAAAGCAGTTACACATTTTTATTATTTTGAATGAAGCTGTCTACATTTAAAAAATGCTTAAATAATGCAGCATTTCAACTATTTATTAATAGATTATAATTATATTAAAGTGTATGAAAGCAAATTATACTAGATGTGTACTTTTTCTGTTCATAGCACCAAAAAAATGATGTTATCACTGTTAGCACAGCTCTTTGCTATAAGAAGTTGGGAACCAATTAAGATGAAAAGGATCTGATGCATAGGTTACCTATTATGAATAGAAAAGTCAGATTGTGAATTTTAAAAGCTGAAGATCTGAGCAAAGCATTTTGTGGAGATTTTTTATTTGATGAAAATATTTTTTTCCAGTCAGTTATGGGTGTTAATTTTTATTTCCACACCTGCTTACATGATTTATTAGTAGAAATGTTTAGCTATTAATAAGTTGTAGGTGGATGTACTGTAAAATATCTGTCTTGGATATTAGACTAAATTAAGTATGTTCATAATAGTGTATCATCTAGTATTACTGATGCTTGATTGAAATACATTTTTTTCAGAAACTATACCTTTTTGTGCTTATACTGAGATGTAGCACCCTTAGACAATGCATCACGTATCATTTGCATGTTTATACTTAAAGGTTAGGTTACTAATCCTTGTTACAAATCTTTGAAACCAAAGACAACTCCCTACTGATTTCTCCTTAGCTGCCTTTTTTACTCTGAGCTACTAATAAAATTACAGTATCTGTTTAAATAAGTAGAAAAAATTACAGTATGCAAGGTCCCAGGAACTAAAAATTTATTGAAAACAACTGTCAGTTTTTCATCTCATGCTTTTTTGCCCGAATGGTGTTTTTTCCCCCAGCAAATGTGGCTCCTCTGTATCCCTCACCTCACCTCAAAGAACAGGAACTGAATAGCTAACCAGGCTGAGGTAGGCCTGGTGATATCTTCCCTTTGACAGGTGCTCCATGTATTTCTCAGGAAGTTAGACCTGCAGTAAAAGTCCCATCCTTGCTAAATCTATGCAGGTATGCGTGCAGGGCACACTTTCCCACAGCTCCTCTTGCTACCATTTTGCAGTGAAACGACTTCACAAAGTTGCTTAACCCAAGGAGAGGCAGGTCCAGGCTGGGCCACCTGCACAGCCCTTCATCTTGTAATTATATGAAATTAATCAAATTCTTCTCTGTCTCCAATGACATTCTTCTGTAATACTTCTCTCATCTCATTGCTATCTGAAAATAGGCGGCAAGATCTCTGGTAACAGAAGCCTTTCTCTTGCACGTGGAGCATGGTATTACATGCAGATTTGTAAATGGTATAAAACACAGAGTAAGAAAAGAGTATTTGGTCTTTCAATTATTTAGATGTTTTTCTCTGTGTTTTTCTCAGTAATGTCTCACAACCTGCAAGAAAACCCGATTGATCTTAAAACCTGACCCAGCGTTGCTGCTCCAGCTAACGGGGGTTGCTGGGTCTCTGGCTGTGCCCTTGGTGCTGCTCTGAGGAGGAGGAGGAGCTGTGCCCTTCCTGGAGCCTTTCACCAGCCCAGCCTAGCTGTGCTGGGCTGAGCTCTGGCTGTACCCGAAACCTTGGGGGCTGATTTGAGAGGTCCCCTGAATTGTGACTGATGGACAGAACAGAAGCAAGCATAGCTTGCTCAGCATAGCACTGCTCCTGTGTGAGACAAAGATCATCTAATATACCTATCCTGGCAAACTTACTCTCCATGGGAACTATCTTAGAAATAAATAATCGTGTATCTCTGAGTCAATTTCCTGCCAGGCTTCTCAGGGAAGAGGTCATTTATAAGCCACTGTGGAGCTGTGCTTTAAAGTATCTTTTAGCCTCTTAGAGGCATCTAATTATCTTTTGATGCTTTTGGTGCTTTTGGAGATCTGACTTTTGGTAGACTCAAGGGCTGAAGAATTGTCACCAGTTTCAAGAGAAAAATATGCCTAAATGCTTTTGCTGGATGTCCATTTCTGTACTGGGTCCAAGGGTGGTTCTGAAGTGAGATCAATATCCATAAGTCATTAATTTTTGATACCATCTTCTGTCAGGAATGAGAATTATTTATGGGAGCTTCTGATTCTCTTCTGGAAGTGACTTGGTTCAAGTGGGTCAAGTTTCTTACCCTGTACTATTTTCAGTGTCATAATTTATTAAGGAATTCACCAATTTGACATACTTTTCACTCTCTAGTCACTTTTAAGTAAGGGACAGTGCTTTGGTTCAGGCTCAGTTATTTTGATGTTCTTATGAGCAGATGTTATCTTTGAACTTGGTCTGACAGGAAGTCTTTATAATTTTAATTTTAGCAGGATAATAACTGCTGTTGCAGAACAGTTATTAAAAGTGAGCATGCAGAGTAGATTGCCATTGGCTGGAGAGTGCTACAGGTCAGCAGATGTTGCAGAAGCATAACCTGCAGCACCCATGCTGCTGTGCCATAAATTCTCCTTTTTTTTTGCAAACACTTAGCTGTTCATTTCATGGTGGGGAAAAATCATCAAGCAAATATACACACAGATTGATTTTGTGAACACAGTAAACTGTTTCACTGTTGCCACACTATCTAAACCTTCAGACTGAACAAAAACGGGTGGCTCAGTATTTCTGTTTGTAGTGATATATGTCTGCAGAGGGTGTTTGAACAAAGACTGACTGAAGTGAAAAAAAAAGATTATCATGGCAATTGCAGTGCCTGCATACAGTTAGAGATCTCAAAATCTGGAGTCCAGCTACTGCTCTTTGAGACTTCTGAAGAAAGCCGTGTGGTGGTTCCCTTAGCCACAGGCTGCATTTATTGTTCCTGGATATGAGCAAGGGACACCTGCTGATGGACCGTGATAAGAGGAACAGTGGCTGGAGGCTCCCTCCCTGCCCACCTCTGAGTCCTCTCCTTTGACTGTTACCAGGGAGACAGACAGAGATTAACCAGGAGTCACCCATCAGAGCCCAGTAAGAAACAGGATTGAAATTTTCTTCAAAGAAAGAAGGGGGTTGAGAGCAAATTTGCAGATGTAGCGATTTTTGGTTTTAATCTAAACATTTGTTGCAATATTTGGCTGGAGTCATTTTTAACTGGAGTCAATTGCATAGATGCAAGGCTCCCAGACAAAGATCAAAGCTTGTAACCATGCAAGAAGGCAGGGGAGAGGTGGTCCTTGCTCTGATGAAAGCTTTGCTGAACTAACATATTTAGTCTGCAGTGCAGGATTTACTTCATAACATTTCCTTTGCTTTATTAAAAAAATAATTAGGACACATGTGGTATCTGGGAAACAGCAGAGACAGAGTCATGGATGCCTTTGAATGCCTTTGAAAAGGCCTCATTAATTTATTTGTCACAATGGCTTTAGCATGGGTTTAATTTTTAAAGGACAGAAATACTGTATTTCCTTATAAATCTGTAATGGAAATTGTTACAGGCTCACTGCTTTGGCATGCTCAGCACTGCCCTTTCTACTGCCAGTTGATTAACTGAGAGGAAAGTTTAATAGTGAAAGAGAAATTCGATGCCTTGGGTGACCTAAACTTAGTTTCTGACTCTGCTGCATTTCTTCTGGAAGCTTTAACCCTGCTGCACTGTCCTGCTGCACACACAGATTGTCCTGGTCAACAATGATGTGAGGATGCTGGAGTTAAACATGTTCAAATATGAAGTGCTCAGATGCCACAAGGGTGGGGAGAGGGCATGTAAATACCCACACAGGTTCCAGGAATTTGGGTGGAATGCCACCCAAAGCACAAGGGTGTTCAATACTGTACAAAAACTGGGTAAGTAGCATTTTCTAAGTAGGCCACGTCAGTCAGGGCCAAAAAAAGGACAGAGGAAGATGAGGGGACTTGGTAACCAGCTAGGAGCTAACACAGGCATAAAAATCTCAGCTCTGACATGACAATGTTCATTGACCTGTCGCTCTAGGATACAAAATAAAACCACACACACACTGGAACCTTCAAGTTAAATAAGGGAAGTTTAATTTATACATTAAAATATATAAATATTTTAATATTTATAGATTTTCAAAAGTGACAGTGGAGTGGAGGATGACAGCGCCACCTTTCCAATGACGCTGGATAAACCAACAGTGCATCAAGTTTCTCCTCTTCCGGAAAAAAATGTAAAACAATCAATTATTTATATAAAGTACATGAGAAAGTTTGTTACAAGAATGTAAACATCAGAAGGCTTAGAAGAACTTAGAAGAACACGGCGACATTGACCCACTCCACTTTCGGAGGTCCTGCCCAGCAGTGTTTTGTCAATGCAGAGCAGGACAATTTGTGTAAAGTGA